GAGTAGGGCCCACTTCCTTCTGATAAGGATAGTAGTTGTCTGCCTCCTTGAAACCCGCCCAAGGATGACCAAGATCAGGCTGCCATCATGAATCTAGGGTCCGTTCATCTTGTCACATGTATACCGCTAGACCTTCCCATTCCTATGGGCACACCCCTAGCTCATCCCTTCCTGTTACACTTATGCCTATCATAGCTCCCCTTCCTACAATGTGTATGCCTATTGTACTGCCCCTTCCTGTGACGTGTGATTCTATAATCATGTCCCCCTAAAGTGATATAATGGGTGGTTAGCAATAAAGAAAAGAGGCTCTCCGGTTCTCAGGTTCCAAGGCTGCTCCTGCTCTCGTGGCCAGGTTCCCCCCATGAGGACCATCAAGCGGGGCTGCGGTGAGCAATGCTACCATGAATTGTGTCTGACTCCATTTATTCCAATCTCTCCTCTAACTCTCATGATCTCTATGACTTTACTATAACCCTTACTTATTATCGCTGTACAATTGCGCCTACCGGACCTGTGATGATTTGTGGGGTCCCCTCTCCCACTTACCCCCACAGTGGTAACCCGTTGTGCTGTGTTCTGCAAAGCTGAGAGTTCAAAATCCCCAGCCACTCTGAGGGAGGAAGACCGGCATTCTAAGTCTGTAAAGGGTGACACTTTGGGAAGCTCACACGAGGCAGTGTCTGCCTACGCCGCTCTGTAGAGTCACTCTGCGTTAGCATCGACTCGATGGCAGTTGGTTTGGTTTCCTGGTTTCAGTTTATTCAAGATCAGATTTATAATCAATGGATCTAAAATGTGACTTTTCAATGGGTTCAGATTATGCCAAAGCAAAAGAAAGGGACCTTTAGATTTTTTTAAAATGACGATCTTTACTTAGTCCTTTGATGACATGAGCTACGAACTGCTACCATCCTCAATGTCCCACCCAAGTATTTGGAACCGATAATAGATATGGAAATTAGAATAAATCTAATCAATGAAGGGGTTCAAAACTAGATGGTTCATTTGTGCTTGGATAAGTAAAACAAATGACCCAAAAGGAAATTATCCCATAAAATATTACGTACTGTTTATCATGAAACTATACTGAGCCAAGTAGAACAAGAAAAAATTAGCAATGGGGGAAAATCCACTAGTCTGGGCTTCTCCACATCTTCCATGTCTGCTGTTGTTGTTGCTGTTGTTGTTAGATGCCATAGAGCTGGTTGGTTCTGACTCATAGTAACCCTCTGCACACGAGAACAAAGCCTGCCAAAAAAAAACA